ACTCCACGTTTGCTTGAGTGACCTTCAGTGGGCCTCTTTCCTTGAATCCAAAAGAGCTCAGAAGGGAACTTTCAGCTCACTGAACTTTCACTGTTGCCTGACACATGATCCTGTGCCTTTGCACATGAAATATGCATTCCCAGGAATGCTCAGTCTTCTTTTTCCTATATGGCAACTGCCTACTTATCCTTTAGGAAAACAAATGTTTTTTTATGAGCCTCCAGCTCCCCAGGCCAGCGCCTCCTCTGCACGCCTTCAGCACTTTGCTCATCCCTAGTTATCATAAGACCTCTCTCGCTGTTTTGTAATTGTTTGTGTTTCTGTATCTGTCCCTGCACTCTCAGCCTCTTGGGGCCAGTGCCAATCCTACTCATGTTTTTACCTCCCCAATCTGGAGGTGGGTAGCAGATTCTGTTGGTTCCCTCCTCACACCCTCTAACCTGGAGCTCACTCACCTGCAGACAGTCCCCGTGCACTCCCAGTGACTTTCTGTGGCTCTCTGCCTGAGTGTTTCAGGGAGACCAGGAGCACCAGGGGGTGAATGCCCCAGGAGTGACCCTTAGACAGCGAGAGGTGGGAGTTGGTGGATAAATACTTCAGCTTCTTGCCTGTCGGTGGGTCCACTGAGTTCTATACAGTTCCTCAAAGGGTCCTTTGTGAAACTGAGCCCCAGTGGCCTGTGGTGGCTTTCTTCCCTCCTTGGTCTCATGTCCTCACTCCCTTACCATGCTTTCTAGAATCACCTCCTAAAAAAAAACTACTTGCACCCTAATGAACACATGTCTCAGGAATTGCTTTTGGATGAGCCCAAGTAAAACAGGGAGATAAAACACATAGTGCCTGACAGATAATGAATGACTGAGGTCATCAGCCTCTACCCCTCTTTCCATCGGCACAGCATGTCAAGAGACACCCTGTACACCCAACCCTGTTTCACTATATTCTCCCAAGTTAGGATCTGATGGCAAGCACACTGACCACACACTCATCAGCACCCTCACCTCCCTTGGTCACTGGTCATTTAGAAGAGCCTACCCCGAGAGTCCCCAGGCACTGACACAGACTTAGGTTCTTTCCACTCCTGCTCTGGGAAGCTGAGCACTACAGAAGGAAACTCTCCTACGATATTAGTTGGGGACCATTTCACATTGATCATTTTTCAACCCTCAACAAAGCTTCAAAACCATTTTACTTGCCCCCTGATCATTTCCTTCAGCAATGACTATGCCCAGCTTTCACCAGGATGCTCCATCCTCTTCTTCTTTCTCCCCTCTGTCCTCTTTGTATCTGGAGTACTTGAGTGAGTGAAGTTAGCATGTCTTAGCAATTGCTAGAAGAAGGGCTCAGATTCTGATCAGGGAAAACAAACCACAATCAGGCTCCTTGGAATAACCAACCAGAACAAAGGTCCCCAGCCTTTTCTATACCAGGCACTGGTTTCATAGAAGACAAATTTTCCACAGACCAGTGGGGTGGTGGGGTGGGGGATGGTTTTGGGATGATTCAAGTGCATTACATTTATTGTGCACTTTATTTCTATTATTATTACATTGTAATATATAATGAAGTAATTATACAGCTCACCATAATGTAGAATCAGGGGAGCCCTGAGCTTGTTTTCCTGCAACTAGACGGTCCCATCTGGGGTGATAGGAGACACTGACAGATCATCAGGCATTAGATTATCATAAGGAGTGCAACCTAGATCCTTCGCATGTGCAGTTCACAATAGGGTTCATGTTCCTTTGAGAATCTAATGCCACCACTGATCTGACAGGAGGTGGAATTCAGGCAGTAATGTGAAGGATGGGGAGCAGCTGTACATACAGATGAAGCCTCTTTTGTTCACTGCTGCTCACCTTCTGTTGTGTGGCCCAGTTCCTAACAGGCCACAAACTGGTAGGTGGCCTGGAGGTTGGGGATGCCTGAACTAAAGGTAGGAGGAGATGAGCTTCAGACCTGCCAAGTACAGTGCTGTACACAGGGTAGTAAATAATTGTTATGGGGCTGTCAACCTGTCAAAATAGTCTGGATTGGCCAGAGGAGGAGGGCGCCATGGTGAGAGGGCAGCAAAAGGACAACACTTAGATTAGTACTATTACTAGCTCCATTTGACAGATGAGGAAACTGAGCTACTGACGGGTGAAGTACTTGTCCAGGGTCACACGATGGTAAATGGTATAGTCAGGATTTGAACTCAGACTGTCTAGCTCTGAAGCCCAATAACTTAACTACTGCATAATACCGTATCTACTGACTTCTGAATACAGAATTGTATTGCCCATTTTTACACTGTTGAAAAAGATATACCCAAGACTGGGAAGAAAAAGAGGTTTAATTGAACTTACAGTTCAACATGGCTGGGGAGGCCTCAGTATCATGATGGGAGGCGAAAGGCACTTCTTCCATGGCAGTGGCAAGAGAAAAATGAGGAAGAAGCAAAAGCAGAAATCCCTGATAAACCCATCAGATCTTGTGAGACTTAGTCACTATTAAGACAATAGCATGGGAAAGATCCCATAATTCAATTACCTCCCCCTGGGTCCTTCCCACAACACGTGGGAATTCTGGGAGATACAATTCAAGTTAAGATTTGGGTGGGGGCACAGCCAAACCATATCAATAATTATTGATAAATCATTGGAAAATCATTACAATACAATATATCATCTGCCTCCCAAGGGTGGCATGCTTACAATACATATCAGATCTATAAATAATACATATCAAACAATTCAGATAAAAATGCTGTATGTATAATCTGCTGTACATTATCACATAGCCATTATTAGTGGATTGGAAATGAAAATGAGTGTGCGTTTTCCTCTCAGTTGCTCTGTGGATGTCAATCGTGGCTAAAGTGAGTCAATGTGGTACAGTGAACACAGAAGTAAACTGAGGCACCCCAAAGCGTGGCTAACTACATGGCAGCCATATTTCAATTTCCACATCTGAAGAACAGAGGGCTAGAGTAGACAATGTCTCAGGTCCTTTTCAATGTTAAGATTTTGTTTTTCCATTTTGTATTGACAGTAAAAACTTGACTTCATACCTGTCTAGCTTACACTTGAAATTCTACTGATGCAGATGACTCGAATTAGGGAGGGAGCCTGTGCGAGGATTGGTACATAACCTCTGTGCTCCTTGGAAAATGAGCAGCAGTATTTTCATATCTGAAGAATCTCTATGCCAACTATTTCGACCTTGTCAGATTTGCAAATTGCACCTGGTAGGTACAAGGGCTAGCAGATGGCTCTAATTTCAGAGTGCCCTTGACTACTAAAAAGAAGACACTGATGAGAATTTGTCTTAGGCCAGGATTTGGGTCTGCTACATATAAAAAGGATTAGCCCTTCACTCAGAGATCACCAGCACATACTCTCTGTGTGGCCCAGTCCAACTTCTGTCCTGTGGGCTGCTGCCCTGTTCTACCACCTAGTGCCCAGTCAAAACCCACATTTTAAAACGCAAAGGAATAACTACTGCATGGTAAACTTAGTGGAAAGGAATCAAACATACCACAGGATCAGATGTGCATCCACAGGAGCAATTTTTACTGAATTGACCAAGAAGGTAAGAGCATCTCTGACTTTGGTCACTTTAGAATAAGAATGGTCTTGTTCTACCTGCCCCTGATTAAACCTCCAGGGATCTTAGGAAACACAGTCTAAAAAAGATTACCTCAAAAATGTAGATATATTCTACTGGGGAGGAAAAAATGTGAACGCAGATATTGATCACATTTTGTGTTACCCCTTCTCTCCAAACTTATCTCCAAAGGCAGAGAGGATGGAGTCTGTCTGGAGTCTCCTCCTGGCATATTTAACTCCCTCCTGTCCCCCTCTTACTTGCATATATGGACTTCTGCACTTAGGCGCAGGCTTCTCTGCCTGAGGTGGCCCATTCTCGAATGCGGACCCCTGCAGGCCAGAAATCTCCTTCCATCTCTTTACACATCCTTCTGAGTCTCATGTGTAGTAGGTGCTCAATAAGTGTTTGCTGAATTGGTCTGTGTGCGCAGGTGCGTGTTTGGGGAGTAACTTAATTCTCAGGGGTCCCATGTATATAACAAACTCCATTTTTCCTCTGACAGAGACTAAGGCACAAAGGCTCCAGATCGCACAGCTCATGGAGTCACTGGAGCTCCTCTCCCTCACCTGGTCTGATGTTTTCAGGCCGGGTGCGGTGGGTCACGCCTGTAATCCCAGAACTTTGGGAGGCCGAGGTGGGAGGATGACTTGAGCCCAGGAGTTCAAGATCAGCTTGGGCAACGTGGTGAAACCCCGTCTCCACCAAAAATACAAAAACAGCTGGGCGTGGGGGCGCGCACCTGTGGTCCCAGCTACTCGGGAGGCTGAGGTGGGAGGATCACTTGACGCCTGGAGGCAGAGGCTGCAGTGAGCGGAGATCCCGCCATTACACTACATCCTGGGCGACAGAGCAAGATTCTGTCTCAAAAAAAAAAAAAAAAAAAAAAGTTTTCCTTCAGGAAGGGGTGAACTGGGGAGGCCTGGCTTGGGGGTCACTCCGCAGGTGGCGGCGCACACCCTGAGCGCTTGTTTTGCAAGGGGACGAACTGAGCCTTTTTTTTTTTTTTTTTTTTTTTGCCATCATTTATCCGAGATGCGATCGGTCCAAATAAGCAGCTCTCGGAAAGTTTCCGTTTTGAAACTTCTCCGACACTCCTATTCCGGGCTGGCTCCGGGTGCCAGAGTCCAGAGGAGCTGCCTGCGAGACCAAGCCCCGCCCCCCGCCGCCGGACCCGCGTAGGAGCCAGGAGGGTGCTGGGCCGCGGGAGTGGAGTGCTGGGCCTAGACATGAGGCTGCAGGACACCACTCCCTCCCCCCATGCTCAAGACTGCTGACACACGAACCCATACAAACGCGGCCGCCCTTGCCCGCCAGCTTGGCCCCTAGCTTCACCCCTTCTTCCTCTCCCTCGACCACCCCGACCCCCCTCCCCAACGTACCGATCCAGTCCCCGACCCTGGAAGACTCACCCCGCCACTCCAGGAGCCGCTCGGGGGTGAGCGCCGCCGCCACGTCCTCAGCGTAGCCCCTCGGCGCCCCCAGCAGCAGCAGCAGCAACAGCAGCAGCAGCGACGGCGACAGCAGCATCGCTAACCACTGGGCTCGCCGGGCGCCCCTTGTCCCGGGAGCCTACAGCCGCACCCCAAGCACCCGGCCCTGCAGCGCGGAGGCGGATCCGCAGCCTCCTCCGCGCCCCACCCCTCTGGGGGCCTCGACACTCCCGGGCCCTGGAGACCCACTCCGCCACCCCTGTCGCCACAGTGAACGGACACTCGGGGCTCTGGCTGGGACGCGGGAAAGTCCCCCGCGTTTTCCCCGCCCTACCCACTGCGGCTTGGGGAAGGAGGAGGAGGAGGGGTGAGCCATCTGCCCACCCAGAAATTCCTGCCTTTGGGGTGGGGACAGGAGCAGTGAGGCTGCCCAGCGCACACTCCCTGCTCCTCCAGTTCGCAGCCCCGCTCTCTCCTTTCCGGGGGAGGCCGAAGAGGAGTTGTGGGTGAGCGATTTGAGAATCTCCAGGACAAGGAGCCTGACATCCGGGTTTGCAAACCACCCGGATTCTGGAAAACACCGCGGGTTTGTAGCGGGCAGCTTAGAATGAACCCAGCTGCTCTGCGACCCGGGCGCTTTGGGAGCGCCCTGGACTCCTCTGAAATGTGGAGCACTGGAAACCCCTGAGGGGCCACCCCGTGGTCTACCTTCCTTGCCACAGAGTAACCCAAAGATTCTTTTATTTTTCAGCTCCTTCGGTTTTGAAATAACCTCCTCTTTACATCTCCTTTGATCCCCCAAGCTCCGCAAAGTAGCCGGGGTCCCTATTACCCATTTTTACAGCTGAGAAACCCTGCCCAGAAAGTCAAAGTGCTTTGCCCTAGGTTACTTCCTAATCCAGCAAAAGTTTCTCTGTAGTAAGTAGGGCAGTCCTGGCTAGAATGTAGTCCTTCTAACTGTCCTCCTTCAAATAACCAGCAGAACACTGTAAGTGTTTAATATTCTGAGAACAGGCTTATGTAAGACCTTTCCTCAGCGGGACCTTGACATTAGTCGTTAAAACATAAGAGAGGGGGAGGGGAGGGCAGAAAGCAGAGCCTGGAAGGAAATGCCCAGCAGGGAGGAGGATTGAAGGTCAGAGCTAAAAGTGGAAGAAGGGAAAGTGGTTGTCTTGGCCACTGCCTTAACGAAAGGTGCTCAGTCCTGCAGGAACCTCACAGAGCCTCAGAACTGTCTGCCCGAGGACAAAAGGGGCAAGCGTTTATCCATGGACTTTATCCTTCCCTGTTGGTAAGGGAGCTCCTAGAGATTAACTCTGCTGCACTGTTCTACAGCAGTGGTGAGTTTCAGGTATGGTTCCACGCTTTGTCTCTGAGAAGCCCTGGGTGCATAGCATGGCAAAAGGTGAGGCGTTGTCAGGTTGTTTCTCAGGGGGGTGGGGGACAGGGGGACAGCTAGGGGAGACAGGCTGCAGAGGGGGCTGGAGTAAGAGGTGAGTTGAGAGGATGTGAGAGGTTCCAATGTGTGTAGAGTCTATAACGTATCATTATGTGTGGAATTCAGCATCCCTGCTTGAAAACATGCAGAAAAGAGATGCTTTAAGCCTAGTAGATTACACAGACTTCAGCTACAAACTATGTATCCATCTCTCCTATAGTCTCAGAACTACATTGCTATGGGAATATCCCCGTAGTATTGTAATAGAAGATTTGGCCCTGCCTGAGCAGGTTGGCGTGCATTGCAGCAGGCAAGTGCAATGCATGTGGCATAATTAGGTCATAAAATGGGACACTGATGCTAATCTCTGGTGAGGTCCAGGGCAGTAACAGTAAAGGGGAGAAAGACTAGGCTGGAGTGGGCATAGAGGCCTAAGTGTGCTCAGATAGTATGGTGGATATTGGGAGGAAGAGGCTGTTCTAGGATGGGAAGAAGTTGTGAAAAAAATATATATATGATACAAAGGTTAGAGTGAGAACTGCTTGTGTGGGAGAGAGTGAGGCATGCCTGGTTGAAATAAAGGGCAGCCACTGGGGCACCCTGACGAATGAGGACAGTTGCTGGGACATTGGGCTACCTCTCACTGGCTGTGCACCAGTGTGAGTTGTTCACGTGCTACGGGCCTGTTTTAGTCTCTGTATAATGAGGGGGAAAAAAGCCTCCCTTGACCCATAGCAGATACAATTCTGAAGTAGCAGAGCTAGGACTATGAGTAGGATAAGAAGGGAGAAACAAACCTTATTTCATCTTCAGAGCAATTAGTATAATGAAGAGAGGTGATGACAGCTTCCTGGCCTACCAACCCCATATTTTCTATTCAACCATTAGAACACTCAGAAAAGAGCTACTTTTTCTTTTCTTTTCTTTCTTTTTCTTTCTTTCTTTCTTTTTTTTTTTTTAAATCTGTTTCTGAAACACTGCAGCTTTGAAATGGAAATCTGTGGTAAAGAGCTTTTTAACCTTCAAGAAAATGACCACCACCCATATCATGGTCTCACATGTGTTTCAGGTTCATGAGGCAGTGTAGGGTCATGGTTAAAAGAGGCAACTCTGCTACTTACCAGCACACCACTTAGTTTGCCCCAGCCTCAGTTTGCCTCTATGTAAAATGGAGATAATAATGTTTGCTTCATTGTGTGACTGCATTAAACGAGCTAATGTATGCAGAGTGCTTAGCACAGTGCTAGCACACTGTAAAGTTCACCTCTGGGAGCTGTGGGTGTGTGGGGAGGGCATGAGGAGCACAGAGCAAGAGCAAAGGAGAGCTTAGAAGCCATGCTGCAAAGCGCTGTGCTAGTGGTAATTATGGCTCTGGACTCCAGCTGGGGAACACGGTGGGCAGGGCTCAGTGCCTGCTGGCCTTTGTACAGCTTCCTATTGCTTCCCTTCTCCTTTGGAATTGGAATTCATTATTTATATCTCTCACTTGAATGTGAATTCCAGGACAGCACACTTCCTGGCACTTAGTCATCTCTCAGTTTCTGCTGAATGAGTGAAGGAATGAGGGAAGAAAAGAAAGAGGTTGAAAGAAATACAGTCAGTCTTCACTTAACGTCATCTATAGGTTCTTAGAGACTATGATTTTAAGCAAAATGGCATATAAGAAAACCAATTTTCTTTTTCTCATCAATGTCATAATGAAATCACGTTAAAGGAAATAATGTTATTTGAGGACCTGCTATATGTCATTTCACTCAAAATTGCAGTTTCCAAGAACCTGTTCATGGTGTTAAGTGAAGACTTCCTGTACAGTGTGGGGTCATTTGAAACTTGAGAAAAATATTAAAACTTTGAATTGTATTGATAGTGAAGAAAATGGGATTTAAAACTCAAGGTATAGATTGTGGTTTGTCAAAATTAACAAATTTTTTGAGCACTGTATGAATCAGGGTATCATCAAGAAAGGGTGAGGTCCTGGTTTGTTGAACGTTTACCCAAGGGACTGTGAACCCCAGAAATTTGAGACGGGCCTCAGTTAATTTAGAAAGTCTATTTTGCCAAGGTTGCGGACACATACCCATGGCACGGCCTCAGGAGGTCCTGACGACATATGCCCAAGGTGGTCAGAGCACAGTTTGGTTTTATACATTTTAGGGAGACATGAGACATCAATCAATGTATGTACGATGAACATTGGTTTGGTCTGGAAAGGTGGGACAACTTGAAGTGGACAGCGGGGCTTCCAGGGCATAGGTAGATAAGAGACAAGTGGCTGCATTTTTTCAAGTTACTGATTAGCCTCTCCAAAGCAGGCAATCAGATATGCATTTATCTCAGTGAGCAAAAGGGTGACTTTGAATAGAATGGGAGGCAGGTTTACTCTAAGCAGTTCCCAGTTTGACTTTTCCCTTTAGCTTAGTGATTTGGGGGACCCAAGATATTTTTCTTTCACATCTCCCCTCTTTTCTTCTAAAAAAATCTTTTGAAGGCTGAGCATGGTGGCCCACACCTGTGATCACAGCACTATGGGAGCCTGAGGCAGGTGTATCACCTGAGGTCAGGAGTTCAAGACCAGCCTAGCTAACATGGTGAAACCTCGTCTCTACTAAAATACACAAATTAGCTGGGTGTGGTGGTGCACGCCTGTAATCCTAGCTACTCAGGAGGCTGAGGCAAGAGAATTGCTTGAACTGGAGAGGCAGAGATTGCAGTGAGCCGAGATCATGCCACTGCACTCCAGCCTGTGTGACAGAGCCATTCTCCATCTCAAAAAAAAAAAAAAAAAATCTTTTGGAGAAAATTAGTCTCTGGTTCCAGGTTTTGTCTTTTTATCTGATATCTCATGGCTAGGATGATTTATTCCTAGACAGGTAGGTCCTGAGTTATTAGGAAAGCTCATTTTTAGAAGGTTGTGAAGTCTCATGTCCTATGGAGAAAATAGAGGGAGGAAGGGAGAAAAACAACAATAAACAAAAGAACCATTTTGGAAAATTGATGTTGGCCACATTACTCTGAAGTCCATATATCAGTAGGCAGGTATGAAAGTGGCTTAGGTATGTAAATAGGTGGTTGTTATTGTCTTCTGAAGTTCAAGTTGTCTAGCCTCAGTTTGCAGAGCTTTACGTAAGCACAGTTTTGTTTTCAGGGACACCAAATTAGGAGAAAAGGGGAAAAAAGGGAAAAAAATTGAAAACACTGTTTTGAAAACTAATAGCCAAAAAAAATTAGAGTTCAGTCCAAACTGTAGAAAATAATAAAATTGAAAAATATCAGGCAAGACTAGAATTTAACGACAGGTGCACTACAGCTTTGAAACATAATTTTTCTCTCTCCAGTTTCCCATTTTTAAAGACAAATCATGGTAGGATTGATTTGCTTTACTATACTTGTCCTAATTATTTGCATACAGTGCAGCAAGAATAATTATTTTTTACATAGGCTTTTAAATCGTCTTTGATGGGACTTTGTTCCATAGAAGGAATCTCAGATAAGACTTTTTTAAAGCTGAACCCAATGATGAATTTGTGCCACCTAATACCTATGAGTTGGGTGATCCTTTTCTCTTGAGGTTCCAAGATAAACTTGGAGCTCCTGGGCCTGTCAGAAAGTAAAATTCTTTACTTACCACTGTACAGGGAAGGTATGAGGTCAGTTTCCCCAAGGGCTTTTATTGACTCCATAAGTCAAGTTTGATTCCTTAAAGGAATGCACACCATTAAAATCTTGGTAAAATAACCAATTTCTCCAATTGTGTCCTGTTGCAAAATGAAAATAGATTCTTATTGCACTTATGCAAATAACTATTGCCATAAGTTAAGAATACCCACAAATAGTTTCCAAATTCTGGAGAAATCAGGTAGAGAGAAACAAATATGCTCCAAATTGTGTTTATAGGAGTATACTAAATTGTTAAAGTTGTCAATAGCTCAAAAGAAAAGTTTCCTTGACTCTGAAAAAAGCAAAACGAAGGATCAGCAACATTTAAAGCACAAATAAAAAGATTACTTTAGTCTTCTATCAGTTCATTTTACACAGTTAACTCCTGTTCTGCTTGATATTTATGAACATTTCAGCTCTCCATGAGAGTCCTGAAAGTTTTTTTCCTCTATTCTAATGTCACAGTCTGCAAAGTT